CCCCTATTTTTGCCAGTGTCTTGTTTTCACAAGAAATAAAAAATAGGATATCAACTGTGGCTTTTAGAAGACTGTACCAGAGATAAAATGTCTTAGTTTAGCATTCATACTAATTGCTGTGACTATTAAAGGACCTTCCAAAACCTTCAGCAGAGGTTCATGGTTAGGCTGCTAAGGAACCACATTTATTTCACTGGCATCTCTGGGGTGGAGAAATGTGCTCATCTACATATTTTAGTCACAGTGTGGCTAATGGTATTGTAAGCTCGTTGTTCTAAATATATTTTAACTCTAATAATCAGCACCAAGTGTGGTTCTAAATATTAACAAACAAATTCTCAGGATTAATGAATTAAGCAAAAACATGCTTACTTGTCTTCATTGCTTGTTATACTTATATGTACGGTACTGTATGTGTACATACCATCCACTGTCTTTTTGTTCATGTTTTGTTGTGAAGTGACATTGTGATTTACTGGGATATATGTCCCACAAACAGATATCACTTCTGTTTCTGTGGGATAAAAAATGTAGATTGTTCGTGAATTTCATATGGAGTGCAGTTGAAGTTCAGTTGAACGTGTGATTGCTGCTACAGTTTGAGTAGTTGAGATTTTTTTGAATCTACCTAAATTGTTTTGAAGTCAAATGTGTTCATGATGGTGTCAAGAAACAGTTGCTTTCATTTTAGAGCTTTAATACAAGTTCAGTAACTGCTTTCATTCATCTGTTTGTTAGAAAGATGAATGCATGCCAATCATAAACATTTCATTTTGACTTTTTCAAATTGTTTATCATCTTAACAGTGCTACTATTATGTGGTAAGCCTTAATAAGACTTAAATATTGCAGTAACATAGATTTCTAACTTTATTTTATTTGCTTGCATACTGTAGGTTTTAACATTTGCCTATAAGCATGCATTGGTCAATAAAATGTATGGGAGAGGTCTTAAATTTGCAACTAAACTTGCAGAAGAAAAGCCAACTAAAGAAAATTTGAAAAACTGCATACAGGTAAGAGCAATTCAGTAATTCTTTGTTAAATAGATGGTTCTGAAAAAAAAACAGCTTCTTAAGACACTTGAATTCTTGATGCCTTTAAACTATTAAGTTGGAGAAAAATCATTTAGATTCTGGATCAAGTAGCTGCTGATAGATGTTTAATCCAAAAGTATTCAAATCTGAAATCCTTCCCTGGATTCAATAGAAGTTTGCATCTCAAGTTCTAATTGGGCTTATTGAATTCATTGCCACCTACTAGCCAGGTAGATTAATCCACTAGCTGAGAGATCTCAAAGAAATTTGAGTGGGAGAATCTGTGAGGTCCTGAGAAGGCATCTGCTAGGATTTTTACCTGGGTACACTTTCTGACTTCTCATGGGAGCTCTGGTCTTCTGTATTGGTCTCTCAGTTCTCCCGTTCAGGTGCTGGAAGGGGAAAATTGTCTTCACTTCACTTGCTCATTCTGAAATAATCACCTTCTGTTAGTTCTTGGATGGGGACACAGAGCTTGCGGTTAACAATTTCACTGCTGCCTCTTCTGAAAGGGTTTCCTAGCAGTAGCATGCAGTTCCTCCTTAAGAGTCAGGTTGCTCCTTGGAACAGGGATTAGAATGTCTGACTTCATTCCACTACTTGGCAAAGCTCCTGGGTCCCATTTTAAGACACTATTATCCTGTTAGTCATACCCCTAAATAGTAACCTGGTCATGCATTCAAGTCAATATATGGTGTGATATAAAAGTAAATGAACCACAAAATTATTCCATATATAATGTGCAACACCTCTGTGGCTCATTTATGCCGCGCCTTAAATTGAATGCATGGCATGTTGGCTCATAGCAGATCCCAATGCTCAGTTCAGTGTCAGGATCTGGCTTGGGGTAGCTCCATGGTCTGGGACACTGCTCAGCTAGGCTGAGATAGAACCAGTTCCTGGACCCTGTGCCTCCTCCCAACCCAGCTGGCTTGCACATGGTTTTCTGACACACCTGTTGCCCAGGGAACCTTAAATCAAGGCATCTCTTCCTAATCCTGAGCTGTCCTGTTCAGGTGTACCAGGGATGTCAAAAAACCACATGTGCAGCCCAGCTTTTAAAGGTGCCAGTCAGTGTGATGGAGCCACAGGATTGGGGAGAGGTTCCCAGATCCTGGAGACCTATTTAAACCATGTGCACAAACCATCTGAGCTGCACACCTAGTTCTTCCTCATCTGGGTGTACAGGGAGCCTGGGATTAGGTTATGGCAGCCTAGTACCACATGTAGTACCACAGTGCATCCCACAAAATCTGGCAACACCAACACTACAAGCAGTGGCCTGTGCAGATTATTGGGAACGGACCATATAGAAAGGTTGGATTGGAGACTCAATGAAGAAGAATGGCAGCCTAAATCTGGGATTGCCATGCTCTAGACTTGTAGAAATCAAGTATGCAGCTCAAGTCCCAGATTTCACAGTGAGCTAGTTGTTGAGCACCCTGTTTTCAACTTGCTGGTTCTCTGTGCACTGGCAGGTAAATCATGATTGGGATGTAATCCCTGATCCCAAAATTATATGCCCAGCCTGGCATGTGTGGCATGACAAGAAGTGAATTTTTTGGGATCAGGTTGAGATCCCATCACACCTTTAACTGAGTGTCTGCCAGTGATCTTAGAGGCAAAAATTGTTAGAGCTACACACTGCAAGTTGCAGGTGTTCACTGTCTTAAGAAGTCAGGCAGCTTTGAATTTAGATGCCTAAATAAGTATTTCTGTGCCTAGGTATGGCTAGCACATAAAATACTTTTTCTCTCAATTTTAAGAAATGGGATTCATGTTTTAAGTTGGTGGTGCTCAACCAGATGAGCCAGGTGAGAGATGCAGGGCTCATCTGCAGACTGGATTGGGCCCTACACCCCACTGCATGCCATGTGCAGCATGCTAGGCCACATAGTGTAGCTCATCAGGCTCCCCACAGGCCTAGAAATTTGACAGCAGTGGAGCAATGCCATCACTTCCCTGCTCCCCAGTTTTCAGACCTATGGGGAATCCCATTGGCCAAATCTGACCTACAGGCTAGGGGTTGAGCATTCCTGTTTTAAGCAATTTGTGTCATTTCCCACTATCTGTAGATTAGCTTGTAATAAACTGCTATTCAGAAACACAGCAAGCTCATATGTAAGTTTAAAAAATGATTCTTTAAATCTGCATGTGAACTCAGTATAATTAACACCTGAAAAACTTATGGCCCTGATATTACACTTAGGACCTGTTAATCGTGCCACGAATACATGCATCCTGTCACACATCCAGGGAGTTATTAGCATGACAAAAGAAATCAGCCACAAATGTTCTATAAATATGTGGAACATTTTTGTGGCTGCTTTCCATTGTTCCTTAAATTGTACCAAGGGCAGGTAGGCCCTCTGGCCCTGGGAGCCCATCAGCTGATGGGCTCCCTCATGTTAGCAGCCTGACAGCCACATGGTGCATCCCTGTAATGGGACTGCACCACTGTTTTCAGCATGCTGAACATCAGCTGGGCAAGGGTGCTGAGTTGCAGCAAGCTACGGGGCTCCCTGCAACTCAGTGTGGTGCATGCCTTGCCCCACAACTCCTGTATTCTACTGTGCCTCTCTCAGGAGCTGCAGGGCAAGGTGAGCACTGTGCTGGGTTGGGGTGAGCTATGGGGTTCACTGTGACCTGGCATCTGAATGTGCCTTGCTTTCCACAGTCAGACAGCCAACCAGCCAGGCTTGCCTGTGCCCAGTTGGGCAACTGGGCTTGGTAGTGGGGAGGGGAGCAAACTTCTCAGGGAGGGGGAAGGTACCCTAGGCTCACCTGGGTGGGAAACTTCCTAACTCCCAACTGAGTTTCAAGCCTCCCTTTCAAATAATGGTGCAACTGAGATCAGTCCCCAGTCTCAACAGCCATGTATCCTGCCATGCACATGTGGTTTGGCAGGGTGCATAATGGTTGGGATCAGGGATCAGTTCCATCATGCCATTATTTTAATGTCTCAGTGGCCTTGGAAAATATATACTCAAAGAACTTTGGAGTCCTTGGGAGTTATATACCAATTCTATTTCTATTCCTGTAAACAGGAAATTAAACCCAGAGTTCATTTGGACAGCAGTAAACCTGGTATTGTTTTGTGCCCCAAATCTAAAACAGACTTTACAAGTATTCTGTATTATATATTTCAGTGATTCTGTCTATGTCCTTAGAGCAGCATGGCTACAACCAACAACCTTTCAGTGATTCTGGAACTTGATATAAACTTTTTGCACTTCTGATAGTGGCTCCCTTTGACACTGTTACCATTGGTCCATTTTCTAGTTTAAAGAGTTGAATTAGGAAAAAATGAAATGGGAATAAATGACAAAGTGAGGAAAGAATCCTAATTTTTCTGCTGCTTTTTTTTTTTTTAGCTAATGAAGCTACTTGGATGGACCCATTGTGCATCTTTTACTGAAAACTGGCTTCCTGTCATGTATCCACCTGATTATTGTGTGTTCTGAAATACCAATTGTTGTAAACATAAGAAATGATTTTATATCGACAGAATATAGAAAGATGAGTTTGTTATTAGAACGCATGTTTTCATTCGTTACTGAATGCTGATTATTAAATTGTGTGTCTGTCAGTAAAGGCACCCCGGTGTGGCTTAATACCTGTTAACCAGACTTCTGACGTCAGGGAGTTTCCTTTGCGTGCATCCTATTGCTGGCAATGGGTGTACTAGAAATGCCAGCGCCAAGGATTTGGAAAATGATTGGAAAAGGCTTTTTTTGCATGCATGTTAAATTCTTAATGGTTAATTTTAACTGCAAACATGTAAAAGTTCTGTATTTTTTACAGTGGACAGGGTTTTAACATGTTTAATCTTAATTTCATTTTCATTTTATGAAGGCCTTAAAGCTACATCAAGAGTAGCTAAATTTTTATTTATTAGATAAAAAATAACAAAACATCATTAACTGGTATTGTTTATAAAAGTTTACATTTGATTTTTTTTAAAAAAAAAACCTTTCAAACTGTCACAATGTTTATCTCAGAATTGCTGATGCAGAGGTGCTCTTGTAAATCTTCATCTTGGAGTAATTTCAGGCAAACTTTCAAAAATCTGTATGAAGTTGAATATCTGGATGGACTGATAATTGTATAAAAGTGCCAGACAGTTAAATCTTAATCAGGTATTGTAAAGCTATACATATATGTTTAATAATGTTAAAAATGTAAAACACAGCAGAATAAATGTGCAGAATTGAAGATCAAAAAACACCATGTGCACTCTGATGCTTTAAAGGAATTTTTATAATTAATAAAAAATAAATGACAATGCTGAAAATTGTCTTGGTTTCTCCAAGAGTACATAAATGAAACTTGTGAGAGAACAGCTTTGAAAACAATATAGAAATATGCAAACATTTAAAAAATGTAGCTATATCTAATAGTTCATACAGAGTTTTAAAGTAAATTTCTGATTGTGGTTTGTTACTAACCACTGCTAAAATGAAGTTAATGTGTTTGAGTAGATGATGCATATACATTTATGAGATAAATCAGATGTTGAGTTCTATCCTGTATCACTTTTGTTCTACAGCCTGACTTTTTCACATATATTGCAATGCAGAATACAGAACTGTAAGTTTTTTAAGTATTAATACGCAGCTAAGATTGTTCTAAACCTTGAAGTGCTACTGTTGAATCAATGCAGTTATTCCCTTCATTGTTTCCTCTCTAATTCTCCCTTGCTGTAACTTTAAACAGCTTGATGGTTGATTCTGGAAATTCTGCTAGTAGTTTTACGTTGAATATATTGCTAACCTTTTCCAAAAATTCATAATCAGCACTGAATCTAAATTTGTTTGCCCATAATAACACTGTCCCTGGCTGACAAAAATACACCATTGTTGTAAGCAGTGGCTCCAGAGCTGCATGGTGATAAACAACATCACTTGCCAAAATCAAATCATAATGGTAAGTTGGTCTAGGAAAATCTTCATTGAGGTCTTCTCCCCACACCAGTTTTCTCACTTCAGGCTTGTGTACGTTCAAGTTTTGTGTATTTCTTGAAATATTAAAATTGAGATTTTCAAGAACTTCAGGCAAATCAGTAGCTGTAACATAAGCTCCTAAAGAGAATATGAAAATTTTCAGTGCATGTGTGATTGTGTACATATTCTTTTAACCCCCTATAACCTTCCCTTAATTTACATTAATTGGTCATTAGTCACTCAGCTAATAATCTCCCCCACAGTCCCCACAATGGGGGACGTACTCCTTAAAGGACTTTCCTTGAAAGTGTTTGCAGTGACAGTGTTTAAACTACAGCATCATAGAACTAACCTAACCACCAACTCACGCGGGAAATACTGAACTGATCAGAATTTACTGACCTAGTACACTGGCCACAATGGAAACCAGGCCTGTTCCAGCACCAATTTCAAGAACTTTTTTGTCTCTGAGGTTGATCTCATGTTGATGTGATTCCAGGTATTGAGATAAAGCCAATGCCTAAAGACAGTTAACACCCATAAAATACATTAATTAGTTAATAACTGCACAGTAGTTCATTAAACAATTAAAAATATTTTTGTTAAAAAAAAAACTTAACCTCCACCAAAAGGAAAGCTGTTTCCCTTTAAAATATACATGTCTTTTTTGCCTTCATTTAACTTCTAAGTAATTTTAGAACTGAATGCAATCAGTCTGGGCAAGGAGAGTTTTCTTTCTAAGTACAAAAGCAACATTGTGAAGATAAATTGTTTTTTGTTTTGAAGGTAAAACAAGGCTTTGAGTTGCAAAAAAAGTTCTAATTGCCAATCAAACGTGCTGCAGAGGAACATTATGAAACTATGGCTGCTCTAGAGATTCTGATCTAAATTTGACCTTCATCAATCAGAGATAAGGTGAACCTAGTTGGGTAATTTGTGCTGCAGTACAGGAGGAAGGGCAGTAACCTATGACACCTTTTCAGTACAGTATTTAAGAACTGCTTTCTTAGCAATCTCAGGAGATGCTAAAATTTAGATCTGCAAGACCAAACAGTACCTTTTAGACCATCTATCTGGGCCCACGTTAAATCTCTAACTAGGATTATCCCCTGCGCTATGTATGCATCATCTAGATTTTTCTTGGGAGTTCTCATCCATATGCGGATATCTGATTTATTGCAAGATCCAACAAGGATCATGAGGTTGAAGGCACATACTTTTCCTTTTTTTATACTGTTTTGAGATGAAACCTGATGCTTCCTGTGATCTGTTATGATCACTAGATGGATCAGATTCCTGAACAGAATGCCAATTCTTGTCCGTCTTCACTGTAAATTGTGAAAACAAGTGTGAAATGTTTATCATTTCTCCATCGGTTCTGAACCTCCCCCCTCCCCTCCCCATGAAGGCTGCTTTCCAAAGTACAATACTATCATTATTAATGAGCTCTGTTTATAATAAACCCATATTTCAAACAATCCAAGTGGCAGAAACTTGTTTTTATGTAATTGATGCAGCAAATTGACTAATATTGCAGTAAACATCCTCTTTTTAATGCACCTTTTTCCCAGTCTTATGGAGAATTGTTATGATGAGGTTGTACTGTACTTTTTAAAATCTTAGCACAAGAGAAGCCAAGGGCCAAGCAAGGCTTCTGCAAGTACAGTCTTTAAAAATACTAAATCTATATATCTCTTCCCATACTTTCAGTTCTGAAGAGAAATCTAAAGATGATTTTTCATTAACTTCTTAATTTAAATTGCTAAATTTAAATTTCTTTATTTAGATTCAGAGATCACTATCCTGTTCAGATGGGAAAGATTGCCTAGGAGTTTGTACCCAGAATCAAATGAGCAAGATCAAGTCTCTACAGAATAGCCAGTTTGTATTTAGCAAATGAGGGCAAGTAACACCACCTTTCTCTCACATACAGAAAACAATGAAAATA